GACGATGCGATCCCTCTCGTTGGCTAGGGACTCAAGTAGTTTCTGGCGGATGACTGATGCCTGTGCCTGGGGTAAGGAGACAAATATCTCGCTACTTTCTCCCTTGTCATTTTTGCGCGACTTGGATGCTATCCGGCGAAATATGACAGCAGCAAAGGAACGGAGCTATAAGGAAGACGGGCAAACTGATTAGTTGCTGTAGGTACCCAACAAGAGTAAAAAGAAGGGATACAAAGAAAATGCAATGCGCACCGACGTCTCGTTTGGAGCAGCTATCTGTTCTGCTAAGCCCATTAACAGAACATCAGGTCGGGTGGCAGTCCAATTATTTTGCAAATGACCTTCGGCCTGGGATCGAATGGAATTATCTGGAGATTGAAGGGCTTGCAGGAGCTGTGTCAGCTCTGCGTGAGTCTCTGCCGGAAGCACCGACATATCTGCTGACAGTCGAATCCGAACGGCAACTAGTGCGGGCGAGGCGTATAATTTTCGAAGGGTAGGGGAAAAGTAGAAGTTGGTTTTTTGGTATTTCGGTATTCGGTATCCAGTGTTCGGCTGGTAGAGAAGGAGGTTGACAAGGATTCAAAGTTGTCTTTAACTTCAATATTCGTGATGTTGTGCCCCGCAGGGCTAAGGCGCGCGGTGGTCGGCTGTGAATTGTGCAAATTAACGTGGGAAAGGGAGTTAGGTCAACTGTTGATATCGCTATAGCAAATTCGAATCGAAATCGAAATTATTAAATTCCTGCTTTTTTTTTTGGTTGAACTCTCGAATTTCAACCCGATTAAAATCTTGGGGGAAAGATCCTAGAATAAATCCAAACCGCTTCTCATTAAATATTCACTTAGTCTACGAGGTGACGGCGTCGATATCGGTAGTGGTAGTGGTAATGGTTGTGGTTGTTGTCGTTTCACTCACAATCTTCCAAGGTTGTTGTTATTTTTCTTTGGCATCAATCAGATGTAGCGAGGGGTCGCGAAAGAGGGGAGATTCCTATCAATCTTTTTTTTTCTTCTCCTTCTTTCCTCATTAACGAGAAAACCCCAATCAATTTCATAAGATTACTGACTAACTACATTCTATAGTTGCATAAATGCATTCAACGGCTCTTGTTTCGACATGTTTTTCTAGACTAATTACCTTAAATATGTCCTTAGATGGAGCGTTACTAACTCAAAATAGAAGCTTGCGACTACTAGATATGGTATGGCCTACTTATTTAGGTCTAAGTCAGGTACGCCTCTTACGCATGTGAAGTTGTACGGTATGTACATACTAGGCACACCAGGGTATGGGAAGTATCTATCGATAGAAGGTGGGTAGGTGCAAGGGTGCATCTAATTACCATCAATGTATGAGGTAGGTACCTATTGGATATTATAGCACAGGTGCTGCTGTCTAGACTTCTAGACTTGGGTAAGATCAGGCTGCTTCGATGCTTCCATGTTCCAAGGTTCTTTTTTATCCCAATCAATCATTCCAAGAGATATCCATGGATGCTTCGAAACCTTCGATCCAATTGTTTCGACAGGTCTTTGCGACAAGAGGTGATTCGCATAAATGTCTGTCTGGCATATCTATCGGTCGAGGCCTATTGATTGGTCACAGAGTTTCGCATCTCGAACATGCCCTACCTCTTCGCTCTGCCACGTATTACACCCTACACCCGTGTAGATGCTCTTAATCCTCATTAGTTAAACACGAAGTTACCATGATAAGTTTATACCCAAGTCAAGACGAGTCACCGGCTTATGGTTCCAACGCTCCAGGCAACTATGCATAATGGGTATAACAGGTAGATCTATGGACGTGGGGAGCATCAATCATCTCATCTTTATATATTAAATCAAATTCTATGTTCGGTAGAGATTTACCACTATCGTCTCTTTATGCACGTCCTCGTTATGCTTTTCGACAGCTGCATATATTGATAGACTTTACAAATAGAGAAGTAAATAATAATATTTATATACATACAATAACACTAGGTAGTATGCAAGAATAAAATACATACCCAGGTAGCAAGATTGATAGACGGGTCAGGTTTCGATATTGCTTATGGGTGCCTATAAATAAGCCACGATCCATTAAAGTTCAACTCGGACTACGGGATCGACATCATGACAGGTGGGTGACGACGGTGTAGGAAGGTGAAGGAGGGGTTACGGCGGTCCGGGGAGGGGCGGTCCAAATTGTCCACTATCGGGAATGTTTTAGTAGACGCATAGTAGTAGCTACCCGCCCTGAAGGTAAGTGCATTTAGGTAGTCCCTCACCGGTGTAATACATTACGGGTACACCCTATACCCTACATCCTACATACATTACGTTACATTCTTTCTCTCAACTCTCAATACCAATTACACCGATTGAAAGGTCAACCTCTGTCTTGCGCCATCACCGACACTATCACCAATAACGACTTCAGTAACATCATGATCTTGGCTGTTCCGACTGGCATCTCTTCTCTAAGTCCCCTAGAAAGCCACATGAGTTCCTAAAGAAGACAGGGCCAGACTGGTTCCCCAAGCTCTGACTAGGTACATAGCTATAGCTTCAAAGCTGGAAGTCGCCTCGATTGTTCCCAGCTCCACGGCAGAGCAAAAGGAACTACTTACTACAAATTTCTTCCAATCTTCCTATTTACTCTGAAATCTTCTCACATATCAGATCTTCCTACCACAATGGATCCCAACGCCTTCTATTTCCGAGGTAGAGATTCTAAAGAAACAAGTATCTCACCGCCGCCTCCTCAACGAACAGGCTCTTCTTCGAGCTTGCACAAGTCCGGCCATGTCATTGCTCATAGCCACCGTTCAAGTTTCGCCGAAAATCTGAGGGGCCTGCCGCCGTCGCCGCGAAATCAAAGACACCCCTCTTTCACTCAGTCTGCTATCCAGGAATTACTCAACCACCCGCCCGCTCCGAAACAGCACAACCCCCGTTTTGCCGGTAGGGACTGGCGCGATGTCGCAATCGGAGAGCTCGTGTCAAAAGACGAAGTTACCTGGGTTGAAATGGATACTAGCGTGGAAGATGCAACAATGGTACTTACTACTCATTTCTATCTAACGATTTCTCTGACCATGTCTCTAGGCGCTACTTAAGAATACCTCTAGCAACGTTGTCATTGTTAGAGAAATCGCCTCTAGCTCCAATCCAGTCTCGACATTCGATTACAACGATCTAAACGCATACATTCTGACCGTAGTTGGGTTGGCGCATCCGAGTGAGGACTTGGTCGAATTATACGATACGGTGGCAAAAAAGGCACAGGCTCGGGTCAGCATCCCTCTTCGCGACGTCCAGCCAATATTCCGAAAAGAGTCGCTCGTTACGTTGGAGGGAGATGAAGACCTAGCTAAGGCGATTGAGGTTTTTGGTAGCGGCGTACACCGAGCGCTCGTCACCAATCATAACGGAGAAGTAATTGGTATCTTAAGCCAATTGAAGCTCATAGAATTCTTCTGGAATGAAGGCATAAACTTTCGCGTCATCGACGATCTTTACCCGAGACTCTTGCGCGACGTCGGAGTTGGGTCTCAACAGATAATAGCTATCAAGTATGTGAGCTGCTGGTTTACCGTCTATACAGCGTTTGAGTATCTCTCCAAGCTAACAGCTTTACAGCGCGGATAGCCCTTTAACGGAAGCACTCAACCTCATGAATCAAGAAGGTCTATCAAGCGTGGCTGTGGTGGATAACGGCTTAAACGTCGTTGGTAACATTTCCAGCGCGGATGTCAAACACCTTACTAATGCTGCGAGCTTCCCGCTATTGCAAAATTCATGTATGCATTTTATATCGGTCATCTTGACCGAACAAGGCGTCGAGAAAGGCAAGGACTCGTTTCCGGTCTTTCATGTCAACCCTTATTCGACACTCGCGCACACAGTAGCTAAATTAGTGGCTACTCACTCCCATAGGATGTGGATAGTGGAATCGGCATCTCCATCGCCTTCCGCACCCGGGACACCTTCGCTGGGACCCACCGTCTTCGTCCCGACTCCTTCTTCCTCGCAAACGTCCCTTACCGGCAGTCATTTCCCTTCGGTTCCCCCTGCTTCCACCTTACCTGGGTCACATTTATCGGGTCGCCTAATCGGGGTTGTTACCTTGACGGATATTCTCAACTTGTTTGCGAGGTCAACCGGGCTTAATCCATCAGACCCGAGCGAGCAGCGGGCGAGAAGACGAAGGAGCTCCAGCAGCTCTATTCGTCCATCTATCGAGTCCACCCGCGCCAGCCTGGATATCCGACGTTGATTACACCAACTTATCGAGTCATTCATTACGGGAAAGGGAAAATCCACTAGACTCATTTAAGAGTGTGGTCAGGTTGCAATACATGATAGCATAGTGCTACTATGGTGCCCTGATTGTCCTGGGGTTCTTTGATATTGTCATAATGGCAGTAGAGAGGGTGGTTTGGGTGGTTTAGTGATGTTTCTGTCGCGGACTATTTATTCTGAAGCGCAATGACGTTTATGAGATATGTTGCTAGGAGTCTGCGGCGTTACTTTCCGGTTTCTTTTTAAGGGATCATAGTCAGGGCTAGACGTATTCAAATATCATCCATCAATCAATTCTAATTTGTTGTGCCTGCTTTTTTCTTAGTAGCTGATATGGCATGCAGAGTGTAGAGGTGCTTAAGATCACAACATGAGATATATGCAAATAAATAATAAATCCTCTTGAGCATAGTTATTGTTAGTTGCATAAAACACCTTACCTCGAGTCGAGTCCTCGACTTGACTTGCAATTTGCTGAGCTTCTTATGTGTAATAACATATGAATTTCTATCAGTCAATTGAAGAGGTAGTATGTTCCTAACGGCATAAACATGTATATAAAGCGGAATGATTTGACCGTGCACTGTGTTGAGGTGGATATTTATCAGTCATGTGATAGCTCACACTAATGTAGTCGAAGTATATATAGCGCCGTAATTCGCCGATTTTTCAACCGAACATCGATTACCGTAAATGTTAGGGACCAAGGGCACGATGTCGGAGTGGTTAACGAGTGAGACTTGAATTGTCAAGAATCTTCTTAACAAGAAATTCTTGTATATTGCTATCTCATGCCTTCGGGCGCGCAGGTTCGAATCCTGCTCGTGTCGATTTTTTTCTTTTTGTTTCTTCTATTATCACTACCCTTTTATTTTGATGGTCTTGGTTGGTTATGCAATTGATTTAATGTTCTTATTTAATGTTCTCTCCTTGATTGTCTTGCCTCTTCACAACGGTCTATGACATGAATGACTAGGCCTTTTTTTAACGTCCAAACGGCGCCGGGCTACTTCAATATTATGTCCAAGTAACATCAATTAATGCATCCCTTACTCCTTTTCAGAAACGGCAGCAGACTTTTGTGAACTGAGTATTCTCTTCTTATCTGCGGCAGAGAACAAAGTCGTGCCCTGTTGTAGGGACTTGACGAGCATGCCTACCGCATCGCCTTTGAAGTCGTCGGCACTGCGAATCTTATCTAGATCCTCCGCGAATTCCTTGGTGCTTTGCTGGAGGTAATAGGAGGTGAACTCCTGAGATGTTGCATCTTTATCTGGCATCTCTTCGTCGGTCTTGTTGGTCAATTGGTAAATTGTGTAATTTTCCAGGTAATTTTCCAGGATGTGTTGTTTGTAGCTTGAGCTATTGTTTTAATTGCAACAAGGAAGCTGAACGTGTTTTGATGTTGTGGTTTTTGGTGGTTATTGTCAAACGCAAACTGAGAGGAGGAAAAGTTTTTGGTTTGCAATATGGCGAGTCTGCAGCCCCACAACCGTCCAAGCTATTCAATGTCCAGATATTATCTACCTCTTGATTGATTCCAGCTATCATACAAAGTACTTAATATTGCATACAAAATATGCTGAAAAATAAAAAAAATTTTCAACAGGCTATCGAAAATGGATATTGTTAATAATGTCCATAATCGATTCACTTGTGACTCCTAAAACGGTAGGTACCTAACAGCCCTGAAGGACCTCCCTATTTTCCAGGAGCTGTTCCAAGGATTCCCCACCTTGCTTTGCGTTTCAGGGGAGTTGGAACAACGACCTAGTCAGCCCCATTACGTCAACAGCGGTTCACTGCCTTTCTTCCTACGTGTAATCTGTAACGTTCGAATCAACTCTTTAACTTCAATCTCATCCCAGCAATCTAGGCGTGCAGCAAGTTCGTAAACCTACCTTATTCAAAATCACAATACTATCAAAATGTCACCACACGAAGGTTTGGTCCACTTAAAGGAGTACGACTGGAGGGATAGCAATGTCGAGAATATAGGAACAGAACTTGATCATAAGGTCAAGTACAATTCAGCAGCCACAGAGCCGGCTTGGCAAGAGGTTGGGCAAGCTGCCGGTCTCCATGTCTGGAGAATCGAGGACTTTGAGGTCGTCCCGTGGCCGAAAGACCGATATGGCGACTTTCACGAGGGAGATAGCTACATCGTCTTGCACTCGTACAAAATAGGGAGCAAGAATGGCGAGCAAAAGCTTGCTCACGACATCTTCTTTTGGCTCGGAAGCAAGACGTCGCAAGACGAAGCAGGCACAGCCGCGTACAAAACGGTCGAACTCGACGAATTCTTGCATGGTGTTGCAACACAGCATCGTGAGCTTCAGAAAGAGCCTTCTGACGATTTTATCGCTTTATTCTCTCGCATTCGGATCCTATCTGGCGGTGTTCGCTCGGGCTTCACGCACGTCGAAACCGAGGAGGAACCTAAAGATACCCTGATGCTACTCAGGATCTTCAAGCACCCGTCTGCTAAACGAGCAGACTCCGTCATGGTATACGAGGTTGAACCTACCTGGCAGAGTCTGGATGAGAACGACGTGTTTGTATTGGAACGTCAGAATAAGATCTGGGTCTGGCAGGGCAAGAAGTGCAGTCCGATGGAGAAAGCGAAGGCTGCCCAAGTCGTCCACGATATGACCCTTGCGAAGCACATCGACGTCGAAGTGCTGTCACAGGAGGAGGCAAGGTCTCGGACTATCGTTGCTATGTTGGGTGGGGAAGATGTTGGGGGATCGCTTCAAGCCCCTCGGCCAATTAACCCGTCTAGGAGTCAAAATGTCGGACATCGCCCTCGCAGACTTTTCCGCTTGTCGGATGCCTCTGGCCAGTTGAGGTTTGACATAGTCAAAGAAGGCACCGGGATTAACGAAACGGATCTAGATGGCAGCGATGTATTCCTTCTTGATACAGGTGATATTGTTTGGGTCTGGCAAGGCTCAAGAGCTAGCAAAGCAGAAAAGGCTATGTGGATTAAGGTGGCTGAATTGTATATTCGACGACTTGGAGAGGACGATGACAAAGCATATCTCAGTCCAATTTCCAAGGTGGTTGAGGGTTACGAAAGTCCGGCGTTCATTAAGGCGCTTGAGGCGTGATAGAGGCTTCTGATAAGCCTTTACTGGGTGCTGCTCGTAGTACTGTCGCTGCCGCTACTGCCACCATCACCATCACCATCACCACCACCACATATTATATACTAGGATTTAGTAGTCATATCAATCAATCAATTCCTAAATGTATGTCGTGTGCCGCGATATCGAATCTTGGGTCTAGAAGTCAATGAGCTTAACTGGCTTTAACTCAGGACTATTTCAATATTTCATTAATGATATAACCTTAAATGCAATTAAAAGGATTAAACACGGGAATAATGCAGTAAAATGGCGTAAAATGGCCAAGTGGGGCGGCGGCCTCAATTTTGACGCGACGCTAATAAATGTCCCCTGTTCCTGGACCGTGTCATCCGTGTGATATGTTAATTGGTAATTGGCAATTGAGAAAGTTCACGTAGGAGGAAAAAAAAAGGATTTAGGACCCTTTCTGATTTGATTTCCAAGCTTGGATTCTCGTTGCCGAACTTCTCCTAGACTCCCCAGACTCCCTACAATACCATCTTACTCTTACCGCTGCCCATGCGAATTATTTACATCCAGCAATTTCGATTCTCCCCGTCTCCCTACTAAACTCTACCTCTGATCGCCGCTACACCACGTGGTGAGAACTTCAATGTCTCTCATTTGATCATCCAACGATTAATTTCAAAGATGGATCTTCACGAGGCTCAGGCCTACTTGCAGTCCTCCCTTCACGAGGTCTCCCACGCCTTTCAGAAGGTCCCCGGAAGTGCCGTCTTGATACGATACATACAATCCAGTTATCAGAATGATCCGATCCGATCTGCTATAGAATTAGTTCTTGTTATATTCTTCGTTCGATACATCCTCTCGCCCTCCTATCCTACCCACGGCCCCAATTACGTCAAGCTTCGCGAAGATGAGATCGATGAGCTCGTTAAGGAATGGGAGCCCGAACCTCTCGTCGCCCCACAGACCCCCTTGGAAGAAGTAGAATCTGAGAGACAGCCTATGATTGTCGGGTAAGAATTGCTACAATGTGCGGTAATGGAGGAAGAGCGCAATTGCTAATGCTGTAAATATAGTCCGACCGGACCCAAGGTAAAGCTGACCAATGGCAAGACTGTTGTAAACCTGGCTTCCTACAATTTCTACAACCTGAACGCGAGCGAATCGATCAAGGAAAAGGCTATTCAGACACTGCGCACCTATGGAGTTGGTCCCTGTGGTCCGCCACAGTTCTACGGTACCCAAGATGTTCACATGAACACCGAGCATGACATCGCCGTCTTCCTTGGAACACAGGACAGCATAGTTTACTCTCACGCATTCTCAACTATCTCCAGTGTCATCCCGACCTTTTGCAAGCGAGGTGATGTCATTGTAGCTGATAAGATGGTCAACTATTCTATTCGCAAAGGACTGGAAGCCTCCCGAAGCATCATCAAGTGGTACGAGCACAATGACATGGAAGACCTCGAGCAGGTTATGAAGAAGGTGGTCGAGGAGCAAACGAAGAAGAAGATTTTGACCAGGCGTTTCATCGTGACGGAAGGTCTCTTCGAGATGGTCGGCGATTGCTCTAACCTCCCTAAGCTCGTAAGTCACCCTCATATGATTTGAAATTCGATATCTTATTTAGCTAATGATGGGTGTATTTTAGGTGGAACTGAAGGAAAAATACAAGTTCCGCATTGCCCTTGACGAAACCTGGTCTTTTGGCGTGCTTGGACATAACGGGCGAGGACTCACCGAGGCACAGAACGTAGACTCGGAAGCTGTGGACATGATTATCGGCTCTTTGGCGGGACCTCTCTGCGCTGCTGGTGGATTCTGCGCCGGCTCTAAGGACGTCGTGAGACATCAACGTATTAATGCCGCATCCTACACCTATTCTGCTGCTTTACCTGCTATGGCCGCCGTCACGGCTAGCGAGACCCTCAACGTCTTACAGTGCAACCCTGATATTCTACTCCAATGCCGAGAAAACATCCGAGCCATGAGAGCGCAGCTTGACCCCCGGAGCGACTGGGTACAGTGCACGAGCGACCCCGAAAACCCTGTTATGTTACTTGTATTCAAGCCGGAAGTAGTCTCGTCAAGGCGTTTAACCAATGAAGACCAAGAGCGGCTATTCCTCGATGTTGCGGACGAGGTAAGTTTTCAGATACAGACCTGCTTGAAGTGTATCTACACAGTACTAACAGAGATGTAGGCACTCGCCAATGGTGTGCTAGTCACTCGGTTAAAGTGCGCGCTGCTGAATGGCAGCATCGGAACCAAGGACAGCGATCTTAAGCCTGCGCTTAAGGTTTGTATCACATCGGGATTGTCGAAGAAGGAGATCGAGAAGGCTGGAGTGACGATTCGACACGCTATCACGAAGATCATGTCTCGTAAACCAAATCGGCAGTCGACTCTAACTGCTTAGGAAACATTCAGCTTCTCGTGATCTCGTCTAATCAGTCCTATTCTACGTCACTTAACGAGATCTACGGACGGTATGAGAGGAATGTGCTTCTATTGATGCACTCCGAGAGCTAATTACTATGATACGACCCGAGTATGGCCCTATGATAATGTGGACGGGTGCTGGGAGGGGCCGTATGAGATGGGTTTGTTCATGAATGTACGTACCTACTATACAGGACGAGGAAAATGAGGCAAACTGCCATCCATGATATCAAATTATAGACTTGGATACTAATTGCTAATTCTTATAAACCACGCGCCACTATTGA